AGGGAGGACGCTTGCCAGGCGAAAACCCACCACGTCCTGGAACACTGTCAGAAATGTGTCGGTGCACTAGTATACAACTGGCAGACCAAGTTGTCGACGGATTTCACACTCGGATATCCGCAGTCAAATGACCTACAATTTTCTCCGTTATTTGATCAGGTATCTTGGGCCGCCATAATGGCTGGGGCGAATCGAGGATCGGGGCTTCACGGAGAATCGTCATCGTGGGTATTCAGGTGAGCGAAACGTCAGTTTCTTGCGTCTGGATTTTTCAGGAGTATGTATTCTATTCAGAAGTGTGAAGTTCTCGAATCCAGCTATCATCACTGAACAACGGTCATGGTATTGAGTGTTGTTGTATCCGTTTGTTGTACAGCCATGTGCTTCATAGGTCCTTATTTGTTGTCCTGTCCCGGACAAAAGCGGATTCTCGGTCCAATCCCAGATCCCCAAGAAGTTCCGGACCTCGGAGAAAAGGGAAAGTGAGAGACAACCAAGGCCGCAACGAACATGCGTGGAAACAAGCATTGTTTAACTCCTATGTTATAACATTTAGAGTGGAGACAAATGATGTACAATTTGCAGCAGTGATTGTGCTGAAGGTGTTTTTTGAATGTTTTTCGAAGACAATGGCCCTATAAGTTGGTTGCTACTATCGATATGGAATATAGAGCTTTGCGCCACTAAGCAGAAACGCTGTATCAGTTTACTATGATGCGACTATTGCGTGGAGAGACAGAAAGCAGAGTTCAGGGACCAGCGCCGTGTGAATGGTGGATAGACGGCTGGTGGCCAGCCTACATCGAAAGAGATTCACCGGTCAATTGGTGGTAACTCAGCGGATAGGTAGGACTCAAGCGCTGAGTAAACATTATTGGGTGATCAAGACAGAATTACGACACGAGGGTACTAGGAGTATAGGGCTATGGCCTATTGAAATATAAAAAGCCTAGGAGAGCTAACCTCCTACAAAGGTAAGTGTTGAAAACTTTGCTGCAAGAACGGACCCAGATTACTAGGTGAGAAAGGATTGATCGATAGAAGTGAAGTATTATAGATCAGTTAAAGGAAAGCGCACGCGCGGAACAAATATATATGTAGCGTCGCGCAGAGAAACAGTCATACTATGGTGCTAAGAAAATGATGAGAAATGAACACCTAGATGTGAAGCTAACGGGCGTCAGTGTGCTGACGAAGTGAGAGGAGGGAAGAACTAAGAGGCTAAGAAACATTAATTGACGGAAGAGCAGGGAATGGCCGAAATGCAAGCGTAGGGTAAGGTTGCATAGAGCATCAGAGCAGTGAGGCCTAACCGCAGCAGCTAAGGTGCTAAGATAATAGTACCAAGACGGATAGTGCCAGAGAATGCTAGCCCGAGAGTTGGATGATTGTAGGTAATAAGGTCTAAGACAATACATCAAGTAAGGTATAAATGGAAAGTAAGAAGGATGAGGCAGAACAGCGGTTTGCGCTAAATATATGGATATGCATGCAAAAGAGAAGAGAGCAAAGAAAGGCTTATGAAAAAAGCACAACGAACGGATGAATCCCAAACATACGTTAAGGCTCTTGAATAATTTATAGCAAAAATAGACGGAGACGCAGCGATGCATATATAATAAGATCATGCTGTGGTGCTAAAGGAAGAAAACTAGGAAAGACTGAGCCAGAAGGAGCCAGTAAAAATGCTGAACATCTATAATTTAGGTGTCATAAAAGAGTGACAGCTGTGCAGCTAGCAAGGAGCAGCTGTGCACTGACCGGATGAAGTAAAGAAGGTCGCCAGACAAGAGCTAAGAAGGTCGAATAAAGAAAGGACAACAGACAAGAAGAATGTATGCATACAGTGAGTTAATTAAGGGAGTCATATCATATAATGCTGAACCAGGGCGGTGTATAAGCTCACGATTCATGCTATGGTGCTGGGATACTACTACTTTGGGAAGAGCCTGAAAGAGCTAGTCCAATATCTGGTCGCTCACAGGTGAAAAAGTCGAAGATGTTACAGCAATTAAGAGATATGAGAACGTCTAGAATAGAGAGGCTAAGGAGCGGCTGAGCACAGACATCTCGTTAATATCCCATTTATTTGCAGGTTCGTTGAGCGGCAGTCGAGAGAGCGCATCCACTACCTGGTTTTCGCCTCCGGGACGAAATTTAATTTGAAAATGGTTTGTTAACTATCGTGCATACCAGCGATGTGTCGGCAGTGGCCTGATGCCATTTGTTCCCCGAGTAAGTAAACTAGTTAGCGCTGCGTGGTCTGTACGAAGAGTGAAGGGTCTTCCGAACAGGAACAAATTCCACTTCTTACAGACCAAAACGCAGGCAAGCGCTTTCTTATCCTCTGTAAAGTAAGGAAGCTCCATTGCCGACAATTTTCTGGAAGCGTATGCAATAACCCTTTTATGCCCATTTTGAATTTGGGATAATATAACACCCAACCTAATGTTTGATTCATCAGTAGAGCCAATCGTTGGGCACGTCTCGTCGAACATCCCCATGGCTGGTGTAGAAGCAATGCGGCGTTTTATCTCATCAAATGCTTTTGGTTGGGATGGGCCCCAAACAATACACTGTGCTCCTTTTTCAGTTTACACAGTGGCTCAGCAATATTCGTGCAATGCTGCAGGTAACGTAGGTTGTAAATAATTAAATAACTAAATAAATAAACTTTTACTCTCGACAATGCGAGGCACAGCCGTACAGGCATGATCATGTTTAGCTAACATAGTGTGATCAAAATGTACAAAGAGTACATGTTTGGCATAACGGTGAATGTAAGTGTATGGGTGTATATATGTATGCAATTGTCTATGAATGTAGCTTGTATTTTTGAATGTGCCGCAGAATTTTTGACTGTTTGTTATCGGTAGGAATGTAAGAATAAGCGATTGACGTCTGTGTGTTGGATACCATTTTCCGGATGTCCACGGACCAGTGACTTTATTGTGTGGCGAGTCACATCCGCCACGTCACATTGTTGATAAGCAGACATTTGTGGCTTTTTATAGGGAGAACGCTTGCCGGGCGAAAACCCACCACGTACTGGAACACTGCCGCCGAACTATTTGCTGAAACGGGTTAAACCCGAACCACCCAGCTGGCACCACGAGGAGGTTGTTCGGCTAGCCAGCCTAGAAAATGCTATATTTTAGTGGAGTTCCTTGGGCAAGAAGCCTCGGTGCTAGTACGTACGCTGTCAAAAATCGGCTTTATCCTTCATTTGTTATAATTTGGCCCGAACATGATCTCAGTAGCATTAAATTTGCACATCTAGAGGTTTAATCGGAGGTTAAGATCATGCGGTCGACGTAAAAAAGCATGCAGTCGTGAATCATGTTCTTCTTGAGTCCTACCGAATAAAAGATGTCCTCCATGAATACCATTTGCCCAGGTAAATTGGCAGATGAATGAACCATAAACTTTTGCCAAGCTGCTGGGGCTGAACTCAAGCCCATTGGCAAGGCTTTGCACTGAAAGAGTCCGTCCATGATGAGAAATGCGGTCAGCGGTCTTGACTCCCTAATTAGAGGCATATGAAAGAAAGCCTTCCTAGGTCCAAGTTTGAAACATATCGGGCGCCGGCTAGTTTGATTATTAGTTCATCCGCGTTTGGAAGCACAAACGTTTCTACCAAGATTGGCCAGTTCAGGCCTGCAGGTCATTGCATATTCTTACTGTGCCGTCCTTCTTGAGGACTGTAACCATAGGGTGGACCCATTCAGAACAGTTAATAGGTTCAATGAGATCATCTTCAATCATCTGCCCTAATGTTGACGAAACCGCCTCCCTTATGGCCAAAGGAATCGGACGTGGATGAGCAATAGCTACCGGTTTAGCATCCTGCTGCAGACAAATGCGGTGAACGGCGGAAGGAGCGCACTCTATTGTTCGTTCAAATTATTTCGCGTACTGTATCTGTAGGTCTGATAGGTTAATTACCATAGTACGCATACGAGATGGGGAAGGCGTGGCTCCCAGTGCAAACATAACGTTGCGTCCGAGTAAAAGACGGTTATTTTTGTGGGTAACGTACACAACAACAGATGGTTTCACGGCCACAAGTTGCAACACAATCACCACAAAGCCTCGTATTGCTACCGAGGCCTTTGTATAACCGTCAACTCGATAGGCGGAAGGATGTATAGGCATGTCATGTAAATGAATATCATAAACACTTCTCGGTACTATAGTGATAGGAGAGGCTGAATCAAGTTCTATGTCGACATGTGTTGTTCTATCTTGTGCAATAAATGTAACAGTACGAATGTCAGGCATAAGTAGTTTAGGCTCTGGACAATTGGAACGATAGTCAGACGCAGTGCCTGTGTTATCAAAAGAAAGTACATCTTCAGTGGTCTCTAACTGCTGACTAGAAACTGAAGCTGTTGGCTGCAAATGAGAAATGCCTACTGAAGGACAACAACGGGCAAAATGTCCATGCTTAATCCACTTATTCAATCCATTTCTAAGGCAGGGCACTTAGTAAAATTGGCTTTATGCTATAGGCTGCCGAAGCGCAAGAATATCTGTGGGATTGGAAGTCGGTTGGCGAGCAATGCATCTTAGAAACCACCTGTATGTCTTTGTGGGTGGCGAAACAGCGCAACTGTTTGGCCGTACGTGTTTTGAGGCAAGCGAATTTCCACAGCCTTATCCCAAGGCAATTTGGAAGCGTCTTCGGCAAGTAGACATTCCCGAATCCGGTTGTTGGTGGTTCCAATAATCAACTGCTGCACCGGCATTAATCCCTCTACTCTGTAGCAGTCTGGAGATTCCCCGGTTTGCTTGTGTAAAATTCTAACCAAAATTCTATAATTGTACACTTAGGCAACCGGTGTGGTTTGTTGAACTGATTGCTGAGTTTGAATGCTTTACTTGCTCATCGCCATTTTTGCTTGGCGCTCGCTTCGGTTGCAACGCGCGACTGCTCTGTGTGCTGTGCTTGATCTGTTCCCCTAGCTAGAGCGTCCACGGTGTCGTTCATTTATAGCTAGCTAACAGGGAATCTTTTGCTGAACCAATAAAAGTTTCCCTGCAACTCGATCCGTCTTCTGGAATCGCTCTCTGGGCTCCCGGAATAGGCAACCCTCTAAATTGGTGACCCCGAATCCGGATCAACCTCAGCGCCGGATATTTGGAACTTTTCTCTGGTGAGCTCGTTCCATTTATTTTTCATATTTTCCGGTTTATTTTTGCATACGATAGCCTATTTTTTCGCGTCATTTTTTCAAATCATGGAATCTGTAGACCATAAGGTAGAGTCTATGCTTAGTGTTGTATCTCTCTCAGTTCCACCTTTTTGGGACATGGATCCTGTTTTGTGGTTCGCTCTTCTTGAGGCTGAGTTTTATAACCACAGAATCACTTCCGACTACGCGAAGTATTGCAAGCTCCTGTCCTATCTCCCCAAGGAGATATCAATGCAGGTTCGTGACGTCATCATTTCTCAGACCGATAACCGCTATGAGGCTCTGAAGGAGGCCACGATTAAGCGTGTTATGCCCTCTGAGAAAGTTCGCCTGCAGCAGCTTTTCAGGGATCTGCAGCTGGGCGACAAACTGCCCTCAACCCTGCTACGAGAGATGCAGCAACTCCTTGGTTCTTCAACCATGGATGAGACTTTACTTCGCGAACTATGGCTACAACGGCTACCGGAAAACACACAAGCGATTCTCGCTACAGTGAGCTCCGTTCCGCTCACTCAACTAGCAGACTTAGCGGATCGAGTTATTGAACGATCACAGCCACAGGCCAACGCCAGCAAGGTCCATGCCGTCGCGTCCCAGGGCACTTCTATCACTGGATTACAGTCAACCATAGAAGCCCTGCAAACACAAGTCGCGACACTTAGTCGCCAGGTGCAACAGCTTACTATGACCCGTCGTCGTCCTAGCCGCTCAAAATCGCCCTCCAAACGTTCTCGGTCTAGCAACAGGCAAGTTAGCTGTTGGTATCATCAGCGCTTTGGTACCGCAGCTCATAAATGTGTAAAGCCTTGCAACTTCGCCGAGAAGCAGGGAAACCTCGGCCGGTCGGTAACGGCGACGGACGCGCCTGGCCAACACCAAAGTCGCCTCATCCGCGTTAGGGATTTAACTTCCGGCACCGAGTTTCTAGTCGACACTGGTGCCGAAGTTAGCGTCATACCCCGTAGCTCAGATGAGGTCGTCTCGCCATCGCCGACCAAGCTGCGTGCCGCCAATGGCACACCAATCGCAACTTTCGGCGAAAAGCTGTTAACGCTCAATTTAGGCCTCCGGCGAACCTTGCGCTGGCCTTTCATAATCGCTGCTGTGCCTTTCGCCATCATAGGCATAGACTTTCTTCAACGCTTCGACCTCATCGTCGACGCTAAACGGAAGAAGCTTATCGATTCTAGGACACAGCTCAGTGTTATCGGGACTAGCGCCAACGTGGCTGCTATCACTCCCATTCGTGTCCTACCTCAAGCTTCACAGTCTTTTCTAGAACTTTTCAGCAAGCACCCTAAACTCGTTCGCGTCCTGAACGAGTTGCCTCCTGTGACGTCAAACGTCACGCATCACATTTGCACTAAGGGCCCACCTGTTTCGGCCCGCCCTCGCCGACTAGCCCCGGACAAGCTCAAAGCTGCTAAGGCGGAATTCGAGCAAATGCTCGAACTGGGAATCATCCGCCCGTCTAAAAGTCCATGGGCATCACCATTACACATGGTGCCGAAGAAGTCCGGTGACTGGCGCCCCTGTGGTGACTACAGGGCACTTAACAAACTTACCGTCCCGGATAAATACCCTATCCCGCACATGCACGACTTGACCTCAGCTCTAGCTGGCAAGTCTATCTTCAGCAAAGTCGACTTAGTTCGTGCCTACCACCAGATACCTGTCGCACCAGATGACATTGCTAAAACAGCAGTCATCACGCCATTTGGTCTATTCGAGTACCTCAGAATGCCTTTCGGCCTCAGCAACGCTGCTCAAACTTTTCAGCGTTTCATTCATGAGGTAACGCGAGGACTCGAAGGCGTTTATCCTTATCTAGATGACATTCTTATCGCGAGCTCTTCTGAGGAAGAACATCTTCGTCAACTCGACGCACTCTTCCAACGCTTGACGCAGCATGGGGTTACCGTCAACCCCGATAAATGCGAGCTTGGCCAAAGTTCCATCGACTTTCTTGGCCACCGCATATCTACCTCTGGTATCGAAGCCCTGCCAGACAAAATCCAGGCACTGAAGGACTATCCTGCTCCCAGTTCCTTCAAGCAGTTGCGCCGATTTCTTGGCCTGGTCAACTATTACAGACGCTTCATACCTAACTGCGCGAGCATTGTTCAACCAATGACTGACTTGCTCCGCGGTAAACAACGGTCTTTTCACTTTCCAGACGACGCTAAATTGTCTTTCGAGAAGCTTAAAGACGCTATCTCCAACATAGCGCTTCTCGCCCATCCAGACACGTCTGCATCACTCTGTCTGACAACTGACGCATCAGACACTGCCGTCGGTGCAGTTCTTCAACAACTCATCGACCATCGATGGTTACCTCTAGGTTTCTTCTCGAAACGTTTACAACCTGCCGAATCGCGATACAGCACCTTCGGTAGGGAACTGTTAGCTATCTACCTAGGTATCCGACATTTCCGTCATTATCTCGAAGGTCGAAATTTTACAGTCTTCACCGACCACAAGCCATTGATCTACGCAATCAATGGCGCAACAGACAAGTACTCGCCGCGGGAAACTAGACACCTAGACTACGTTTCTCAGTTTACGACAGACGTACGTCATGTCTCAGGTGCTCTCAATCCCGTCGCGGATGCGCTTTCACGCATTCAGCAGATCAGCTTATCGCCTGGCACAAACATTGATCTAGCCGCCATGGCTGCTGCCCAACAAGCTGATCCCGACGTAAGCAAGCCACGACGCAACACCACTGAGACGATCACCATTGATCGACTCCAGCCAGCATTCTTCGACAAGTCTGACTCGCCGGTGCAACAAGCACCTTCACAGCCTGTGCCATCACAGCTGGCACCGCAACCTCAGACGAGTCAGTCCGCTCCAGCAGAACCGACAACCACAACCGACAGCACTCCTAGCCGCCCTACTCTCAATCAATGCGGTAGGAAACTCAAACCTAAGGTTCGTTTTTCGGACTCCGTTCGCACTTACTTTTTTACGTAGAACGTGCCTTAGAAATTTTCTGCTCTTACTAAACGTTTTTGAAAATCCGCAAAAAAAGACCAAAACGTTTTGAAACTACCAAAAAAGAGCAAAACCTTTTGAAAACCCAAAAAACAGCTTTGCACGTTTTTCGCTTTGCACTCTTTTGTGTATGGCTATGCATTTATGCTGCTTTTTCATTTGCTTTCCATATACACCCCGTCGGTTGGTTGCCCCTCGGTTTCACTTTCCGCTGGATCTCCGCACGCCAACTGGAAGTTCAACAATCTTCCTGCTCAACTGCCTACGTGAACTTTATTAACTGTCCCCCCCACAAACAGTTTTTTTACCGTTTCGACACCGTAGGGAGGACACGGGTGGGAGCCCGCTAGGGTCCGATTGCATGGTTCTCCCCCAGCAGCTGCATCGGGTTTCACAACCTGGTCTCGCAGAAGGCTGGCCGGCGACGGACAGTCCTCACGTAGATCGAAGGACTGCTTACACAGTCCCTTCTGGGAGAGGGCTATGTAGCAGTCTGGAGATTCCCCGGTTTGCTTGTGTAAAATTCTAACCAAAATTCTATAATTGTACACTTAGGCAACCGGTGTGGTTTGTTGAACTGATTGCTGAGTTTGAATGCTTTACTTGCTCATCGCCATTTTTGCTTGGCGCTCGCTTCGGTTGCAACGCGCGACTGCTCTGTGTGCTGTGCTTGATCTGTTCCCCTAGCTAGAGCGTCCACGGTGTCGTTCATTTATAGCTAGCTAACAGGGAATCTTTTGCTGAACCAATAAAAGTTTCCCTGCAACTCGATCCGTCTTCTGGAATCGCTCTCTGGGCTCCCGGAATAGGCAACCCTCTAAAACTCTACTTTTTGGTATGGTTGCATACGTGCATTGAGGCGAGCAATGAAACCGTCTACAGTTTACAATGGTTGCTGTGTAAGTCGACCGACTATAAGGTTAGCCATGAAGAGGTTTGTACGCTGTCCCCTTGACTTGTTTAGGGCCTCTAGTGCTTTCGTTAAGGAATCTTGTAACTGAAGCTTCAAAGCATCAAAGCGACGTTGCCCCTCATCACCGAGTAGGTGTCTGAGAAGCTTCATTTTCTGGCCTTCAGTGTAGTTAGAAGCCGCAGGTAGTAGGTCAAGATAGTTTGTAAACGAGGTATTCCACTGAGCCCATGCACTTTCACTAGGACGTAAGGTCTGATCATAAAAGTAAACCGTAGAAGGATGTAATTCTATGGCGTAGGTTCGTAAGCCGCGACGCCAGTGTTGTATACGAAAGGTCAAAATGCACGAGCCAGTTAATAAGACACCCTTGTAAACGAACTGCTCTAATCTGATCAATGTCTAACTGGGGGAATACATTAAGTGTCGCAAAGAGAAGGATGAACCATTAAGGAAGCAGAGAATTAGGCGCTTTGTGTGTGTGTGTGTCTGGGGTTGTGTGCAGGTGTCTGTCTAGACTAGCCGTCAAGAATGCTGACAGAATACACAACCTCGGGAAACTCCACCATGGTTTCCAACTCCTTCGTCTTTCAGTCTTTAGTCACTTTTGGTACATGTTCATCGCTGTATTCTTACTTTTCGATCCTTAGACTACGCCTGCCGTTCACCGGTTTCCTACTTCTTACCCATACTCAGTTTTCTTCAGTTGACATGGCAGCAACGTCAGCCATGGTGAAGATATTCTTTGCGTATCCTCAGAGTTTATTACATGGTACCTTTACATCCTCTTCGTAATAGTGCTCAGTTCAGAGCCCGCCCTTTATCGTTAACACGTTTGCCGCACCTACCACTCACATGTTTCACATTCGCATGTAAGCAACTTCAGCCAGGTTTACATTTGACTATGTGCGAGTGGCTACACCTTCTCTGAATAAGTATTCACATCCCAGGTGTGTGGCATTTCGTCTCATAGGCTACATAGGCTGTCCACCCGTTTACCGCTTGTGCGTGTTTCTTAGTTGTTGCCGCTGGGCATGTGAGCAATTTCCACCAGTGTGCATAAGTCATCCATCCTTTCGATGCCATTCACTTAATGTAAGTGGCCATCCATCTCGTAATGCTTTCTATTTCACAGGCTACAACCGCCTTTTTGACGCATGTGCCACTTATACGCCAAACCATGTCAAGTATGACTTTCCTGTGGCCCACTTTTCTCCGCCGCAAGTGATTTCTCTCCGTCCAGTTAGATGCATTGCCCGTAATGAGCCTGAAAGTGGCTATCTGTAAGTCTGCATTTACGGTACCGTCAAAAATGGCAGCACACCATCACAATACCCAAGTTTCTATTCGGTATTAGGCATATAAACAAGTGAAAGGAGCCATTGCCATTCTTCGGGCCTACCTCAAGAGAAGGCCGATACGGCCCTCTTAGGTGCCCGCCACTTTAGTATTCACGAATTGTAAGTACGGTGCGCTGCAGACACTCTCCAACCATGACGCGGACATTGGAATTGGTGTAAACGTCACTCAGGTTCCCTTCCTTACTTATGCTTCAAATGCGTTTCGGCCGCAACCTTTTAAACCTTAACGCGGCTACCACGTCACATCTTACATATTACTGCCTTGCACCAGCAAGTTCAGACGTCAAGGATCTCCAGCTTTGATGTCTAATAGTCAACCTTTTCTTATCATACCTGCTGTTAGTCCATTGCTATGGTAACCAGTTATATGTCTTCCGTTCCCTTATTCGAAAACATCTGCA